AGGGGAGAGGGGAAGAGAGGGAGAAGGGGAGAAGGGGAGAGGGGGAGAGGGAGAGAGGGGGAGAGGGGGAGAGGAACTAATGTAGTAGACACCACAATCGACACGCTTAATCACCGAGATATTCTCCCCCACTGGGAAATGATTCCTTCGCGTTTAAGGACAACGGAGAATCGCGAGAAAAAAACTCGCTTTCACTGATGGGAAAAAATCGACAGTCTTTGCCAATAGAAAACGAACTCGTTTGCGAGGGGGAAGTAAATCCAAGCGCGTTTGATAGCGAAAGTTGCTGCGTCGAACCGTGGCGAAGCTTTCAAAAGGTTTTTCGATGTCGGATGATTATGACAAAAAGGCGTTTGTTAGTCCAAGGATCAGCCGACTTTAGCTTGGCACAGATCCTATTAACACGGCCGAGGCAATCAGCCCAACTCGACGTGTAGAGAGAAGCGTCGCCGCTAGAGAAACATGGATGTGGTGTGCGTGAGTGAGTGAGTGAGTGAGTGAGTGAGTGAGTGAGTGAGTGAGTGAGTGAGTGAGTGAGTGAGTGAGTGCGTGCGTGCGTGCGTGCGTGCGCGCGCGCGCGCGTGTGTGTGTGCGTGTGTGTGTGTGTGTGTGTATGTGTGTGTGAGTGAGTGTGTGTGTGTGTGTGTACACGCGCGTATATGCGGTGTGCGTGTACGTGTGTATGTGTGTATGTGCGTGTGTACGTATGTCTGTATGCATGTGAGCACGCGAGTGTGTATACGTGCGCACGAGCGCCTTTTGAGTGTGCGTGCGTGTATGAATGGTTGTGCGCCTTTCCTGATGCGCTGATGACTTAAGCACTTCAGAAGCCTGCCGTATTACGGCCTTACTGCGCGTAATCTTTTGAGTCCGTTGATTCTACTACGCGCCTACTTTAGCGCAATAATAATACGTGAGAGAGTTAACAATCTGACATCTTACTTACAATGACCGCACCTCCGCATAGCGAAGATTTATTTTCTGAAGAAAAAAGCACTTATCGCACTTTAGGAGAAGATCATTGAAATTCTGCGCGAATATAAGCATTCAAGTGGAAATACTATAATAGAACTTTTGCTCAGATCCTGCCTTCATCCGGGCAGAGAAGCAGCCCCGATGTATAAAGCAAAATGGAAATGCACGAGAATAATTGAAGTCGCTTAGACGCGAGTTGCGTTGTGACTTTAAAAAGAAGGTCATGACACTCATATCGTGCCTCGATGAAGATGTGACGGTGAAGATGTGACGATGAAGATGTGACGATGAAGATGGGACGGTGAAGATGTGACGATGAAGATGTGACAATTAAGATGTGACGATAAAGATGTGACGATGAAGATGTGACGATGAAAATGTGACGATGAAGATGTGACGATGAAAATGTGACGATGAAGATGTGACGATGAAGAGGTGACGATAAAGATGTGACGATGAAGATGGGGCAATGAAGATGTGACGATGAAGAGGTGACGATAAAGATGTGACGATGAAGATGGGACAATGAAGATGTGACGATGAAGATGTGACGATGAAGATGTGACGATGAAGATGTGACGATGAAGATGTGACGATGAAGATGTGACAATTAAGATGTGACGATAAAGATGTGACGATGAAGATGTGACGATGAAAATGTGACGATGAAGATGTGACGATAAAGATGTGACGATGAAGATGTGACGGTGAAGATGTGACGATGAAGATGTGACGATGAAGATGTGACAATGAAGATGTGACGATGAAGATGTGACAATTAAGATGTGACAGTGAAGAGGTGACGATGAAGATGTGACGGTAAAGATGAGACAGTGAAGAGGTGACGATGAAGATGTGACGGT